TCTTCTGTCAATCAGATTTCTCTTTCTTTTCTTACTGTTTTTTATCAGGTTGCGTGATTCCTTTTATTATACTTGTCTTCTTATTAGTGCCAAACGACAAATGAGGAAGAAATATTTGAAGTTCAGGATACGAAATCTCTCTTCCCTCTGGGTTGGATTCATGTAAGTGTTTCATCGTCAGCTCTCTTGACCTTATAATTAATCTGCTCAGTTACAAAGTGATTTTGCCTCCTTTAGTAGTAACTTGAACACAAACCCAAACTCACTTACTAAACAAGTTTAGGTGGAATATAGGTTAGCTCTGTCCATAAATTAACTCAATGACCTATTTTTGTAAAAGCTTGATAGAACTTTGTTTTATTTTCCTAAGTTCTCTGCTTCGGAAGATAATTATATTTGAGAAAGTTGGCATATTGTAGATTAAAGTTCATGCACTACTTTAAAAAGGTATACGGCTACAAAGACGTTTGTCATGTGTCCATGAGTCCATAAATGATCATTTGATATGGAGGACATGTCTCTGTTGATAAGCCCCTCCTTTGTATTTATTATTATTATCTTTTCAAGCTTGATTAAAGTTAGACGAGATGAACCTCAGCAAAGGAGACTTGGCTTTCCTTTACCGCCCATTAAACTTGACACATTTGCACCGCTATTTTTGATATAATAAACCATTTCTAGTGACTTAAGTCTTTTCTACTTGGATTCTGTATATTAAGCTTGGTATATGCTACCTTATGTGGTGTTGAAGTCTTTGTATGGGGCTTATGGCAGCACATTCCGGGGGATTAGTGGTGTGAACAATTTTCAGTTTGAAATTTGTAATGTAAAATGCAATCGATACAATATTTGGGGCCAATAATGTAGTTAAACTAATTGTGATATAATTGCACCTAAAATTTTAGGATGGAGCAGTTGGGAGAAGTGGGCTATGGGCTCTTTGACCTCATAATATTGGTCTCACTGATTGGTGGCACCAAACTAATTAAGGAGCTTTATATAATTATAGACTATGGGAGGGAATGGGAGTAAACAAATTAAATCTATATTAATTTCGAAGTCCATTAATCAAGATCTTATGTCATGAAATAGGAGTACATGACATTAATACCGAGCAATACATATCGCAAAGTATTTGTCTCACTTCCATTCTTTTAATTGACATTTTGCATGTCTAATGGGGTACATTTCAATAATATGTTCAATGTTTGAGGGATGAGCTTTTTTATAGCTGGCCAACTGATTAACTAGCGATGAGTTTTTTATAGCTGGTCAACTGATTAACTATCTTTCAATCCCCAGACGCATCCTACTCAATCATGTTTCATGTCATCAATTGATCTTCATACTCACTACTCATACCAGGTATGTTTTTCGTGTCATCATTAAAGTAGTGCCTTTTTCAATCATTGATTCATCTGTGAATGTTTTTGTCAGTTATATATTTAGATCGCTGCTAATGTCTCTATTTACTCTGAATTACGTCATTTTTGTGCTTATCTTGAAGTGCAGACAGTGTCTGGCCTAAGAAAACTGTGTAAAATGTATGGACTGGGTTGGATAAAGTGAAAATTCATTTTCTTTTAGGTATCTGTGTTTGTACTCTGTAATGGGTAAAGGATCATATCAGCGAAAAGATAGCCAGAGCATCCGTTACTTCGTCACATGATTTAGAATGCACATTGAACTTAATCTACGACTGAAATATTAATTTAAAAAGACAATGATTTGAACAAATAGTGACCATATATTTATTTGAATCTGCATTATCACACTTGGATGAAGTAGTAGATATCTCAGCTATTTAGAAGGCAGTGGACAGGATCATTCCCTTTCTACCATTCTTCATTTTGTGGTTTTCTAATCTCTTTGTGAAATCGGAAGAAAGATTAAAGTCCATAAAACTACATTTTCTCCTTAATTTGGGATGCTGAATTGGGGTTTGTAGCATGTTGGTAGGAGTTACTTTGGGGCATGTCAATCGGAAAATATATTGTTTTCTTGTGTTTTACTTAGCAAACTGTAGATCAATATTTTAGCAGGATCCCCCTGAACTTAGTCATTTGCAGTAGAGAAACCAATATGGGTATTGGTATTGGTATGGGTCTGTTGGTCTTTGTATGTGCCCGTAATGATCGATTGTATTTGTAGATTATGTTGCCAGAAGCTGTAGCCATAGTAATGGCTCCAACAGATACTAAAAGGTTAGAAGCATATTATAATGTTAATGAAATTTTGATTCTCTGCTATGTGCGTATATATATACATATATATGCAATAAGTGTTGAACTTTTCGTTCCTCTGATTACGAGTGCAGAAAACATGGGATTTTTCGTTTGACAACTCCGGGTGGCATGTCGGTCATCAGACAGTGCCAGGAACGGGGTTTCCATCCACACAATCCACCTCCTGATGGGGGCTCCATCTATGATACATGTACAGATGTGTACATGAATCCGAGCGTGAACTTCGAGGTCATTGATCTCCGATGATGACTACCATCAACCATGGCAGCTGGATGGACGTGTTTTGGAGATGCATTTACCATGTGCATATTGTTACCAGCGATTAGAGTTGCACTTGTACCAGGTGTAAAACTGCCAGCTTTTATATTGCATAATATATAGAAGATAAATAACTGTCGGGAACCAAACTGTGTAATAATATCATATTTGCATGGTTAGGGTAGGAAATACTAAATTAAAAAAGAAAAAGAAATTCCATTCTTTGTATGAAAAAGATTTTTTTATAAAAAAAGTAACTTCTTATTATGTTGAATATATTATTAATATTTTTTTGAATTAGTGGTTAAAATGTGGAGACATCATTCTAAGCTTGCGTAGAAGAGTCCAGTACTGATGTGAAAGATAATTTTTTTTTGTAAAAACATAAGCTAGTTGGTGTTGTGTAAGAAGATAACTTAGTTGCAATAAGCCTTGTTCAAAATTATTTTGTTATTCTTCATTCTATGGATGTAGCTGTTTGAATTTTGTTTTTTTAAAGAGAACAAAAATTTTTTTTATCACTAAGATCATTTAAGGAGTTAATCTTATCTTTAGTGAAATGGTAGATAATTTTGTTGTCCTTTCATGGAAAATAGGGTTCTTGACAATGTGTAATGTACTTTGATTTTCACAATACAATGTAATTGGCTTGCGCTTTTGAACCTGCAACTTCTTAGAGTTTGATCAACCAGTTTAACTTCATATGCGTCTTAAGACATAGCCCTGTGTTCATTTTCTGCTTACGGCGTTACACTAATGATTAGAAGAAATACGAGAAACAGTGTTAGAATTGTAAGAAGTATGAGGAACATGTGTCCAAGTAAATCATGAGAAATACTCTACAATTGTAAGAAAATGTTTGCAACCACTGTGATTTGCACCGGTGACGGATTTGAAAATTTAAGAATATGGTATGAAATTTTAATATATTTATTTTCAAAAATAGAGGATACACAAATTTTCTTTTTTCTTTATTCTTAACATATTAGACTAATCTTTAAAAATTTTCCAAAATAATGAGGATGCCCTCGGTCAAGTAAGAATTTAATGCATTCGCCCCTGATAAGCACCCCAAATGTCTACATGAAGCATCTCAAATAATCCACCACAGCAGTGGTGAGGGTGGGTACACCTTAAAATCTGAATGTTCTTTGAATAAATATTTATTTATATTCTGTGTTCACCTTAAAATTTTATTTGTATCCGTCCTATATAAAAATCCTCTATTGTTAATATATGTGTCAAGTCCTCAAATGTTTCTCAATCCGCTATTACACTACATAAATAACAACTCTTGGTAAAAGAAGATTTAGACATTTTTGCCTTAGGAAAAATCTGAAAAATATTATCTGAATATACCTTTTTTTTATCATTTATTACAGAAATATGACTCATATTAGAAAATGGCAGATGAACAAGCTTACAATACCAAGTTTTAGCATTTATGGTACAAGCAGTAGCTTCTGTAACTGTTTCTTCATCAACACTAGCAGAACAAACTTCGTCAGTAAAATATAGTCCACGAGGTGCCTTACCAATAGTCATGGGAATGCTCATTGAAGGGTGGGTCTTGTATGAAATATTTGTTAGGCATGAAACTCAAATGACAACCGATGACCGAGTATGCGAAACACCAAGATTGCCACCTTTCCCACCCTTTCTCTGTTGTGTACACATTCCAGAAGACTCAAAAACTATACGGGCAGAAACAAAAATTTACCTTTGTTTTTCTTCTTGTATGATTTAGCATTACTTACATGGATTCAAATATTCAAATCTACAACATCTATCCATATAAGTAATACAGGTTTAAATATATTATCTATATCTATTCTAAATTAATAATATTAACATCTTTAAGAGAAAATTCTGAGTAGATGAAATTTCGATGTAGCTTCAGAGTTCTTTTTAGAAAAACAAAAAGGGTAAATTATTGGATTAGTACTTAAACTATTAGTTTTGATATGTTTTAGTACCTAAACTTTTAATTTTTTCAAAACCATACATAACATTTAGTTTTTTGTTTCATTTTAATACACTATCGTAAAAACTTAAAGCTTTTAATATCTAAACTATTAGTTTTGGCCCGTTTTAATATCTAAACTTCTATTTTTTTCAAAACTTAAGTATAATTTAAGTATTGAACGTGTTTTGGTACCTAAACTTTCAATTTTTTCAACACTTAAGTTTTGGTACTTTAAAAAAACAAAAACTAAACTTTAGAAATGTTTTTGAAAAAAAATAAAAGTTTAGATATTAAAATAAATCAAAACTGATAGTTTAGATATTAAAATCGTAATTTATCTAAATAGAAAAGTCAGTGCGACTCAGAGCAACCATTCATTTCTCTTTCATGGAAAATTCTAACAAAAGCTAATGTTTTTTTTGTGTGTGTGTGTTTTGGTCAATCGGAATAGTCCAATTTATTTACATTTTAACCCTTGAAAGAATGCATAATTTTCCAAATTTTTATATATTTTTTCCCCTTCGCAGTTCCTCCCTATTCACAACTTCAAAAAATGCATCATCACCTCCCTTCAATCTCCTCCTCCACTTTCTTGCTCAACTTACTGTTCTTCGCTCAGCTCCCAATATCATATACCCAAAATACTGCAAGTATTAATCAGTGTTATGAAACTTTCCGTTGTGGAAACATACAGAACCTCTTGTTTCCATTTTGGAAGGAAGGTAGCCCTGAAATCTGTCACAATGAAGGCTTTGAGTTGACCAAATGCGAGGAGGAGGACGATGAGCCCGTCATAAAAATCGGTGAGGCTGAATTTCGGTTGGTCTTCGTCGATCAACCCGGTTATAGAATGACAATCGCTAGAGAAGATTTGTGGGAAGGAATTTGTAATCCAACTAGCAAACAGAACATGACTCTGGGAAACCATTTCTTTCGATTCCATCCAACAAATCGAAACCTTACTTTCTTTTACGATTGCAACGAATCAGTAGTACAAAGAGATGGAGTTGGATTTACGTGCACCCAAGGGCTAATTTCTTTCTACGCCGATGATTTAGTTGAGAGAGGTTCTTATGAACGGTTTAGCAGCTCTTGTCGTGGCGGCGCAATCCAAGTTCAGATTAATGACAGCATTTTCGGACGACTAAAAACAGAAGATCCGGAAAATTTTGAATCTGGGAGATGGAGACTGGGATTTGACGTGCAATATGATCTGCCTGAAATTTTCTGTGGGAAATGCAACAGCCACAAAGGTTTATGCGATGACATGACTTCACCTCAATACCCAATCTGCAAAACGCATGGTACGCACAATCTCTTAAAACTCCATTCTTCATCCACATCAAATTGATTGCTAAAATCTGGTGAATTCATTAGACAACCTGTTCTGTGAAATTGTGTTGTGTTTAGTTTTCCGGTCTACAGTAATCAATTCTGTTTTTCATTCGGCTTGCTTTTGGACCATCGTAGGTATAGCAGCAGTAATTTGGATGATAAAATACAAAGTAAAAACTACCCTTTCTAGATTTTCCAATAACAAAAATTTGGTTTACGGCTATACGAACTTCGAGATCACATGCAAAGAGAAGCATCTTACATTTAAAATTTATGACTAAATCGGTGTTCTATTCAACTCATGAATCAACGCATGATTTTAAAAGTAAACGAAGGACGTATTTAAAAATATTAAGGAACAAAATTAAATTATCATTAAAATATAAAATATATGATAAATTAAAATTTTTAAGAGAGATGATCGCTTCTATTCATTCACTGGATCAATTATTAGTTGAATCTAAACAATAATATTTTAGTAGTAAACAATATTTCGTTAAACTTTATAAATTTAATATGTTATCTCCATTATTTATTTTGTTTGTTCAACATTGATTTTTCATTGTATTTCAGTATTCTAAAGTTTTATAAATTTATTTTTTTGGATAAGTAACTTATATTTCATCCAAAAGAAAGCAGCATAACTGCTACAAAGAATACAAAGAACGTACTAGATCAGACCCCAATTAGTGAACAAAAACCTATTTGCATCATCGATCCTATGTATGTAATTCCTATACAACTTGATTTTTACAACCTCTTTAATCCTATACACAATTGTATTAGCAGAACGAGTATATCCTCTAAAGCACCTGTGATTACGCTCCTCCCAAATGTAATAAAGGAAACCAGACCAAGCAAGCTTGAGAATTTGCACCCAGAGGGATTTACCTTTCAAATTCACGACCAACCAGTTAAGACATTCATCCCAGGTTTGCATGTCATAGCAGATCTCACATGAAACTGAAATAGATCTCCAAACTTCCTTAGCAAAGAAACAGCCTGTGAAGAGATGGTCCCGGGATTCCAGATCAGAGCCACACACAGTACAATCAGTTTCCAAAATCAAACCAAAACGAGCCAACCAATCTTTAGTAGGCAATCTGTTGAGGAAGACCATCCACGAGATAAGGGAAAACTTGGGAATATGACCAGGGAACCAAACGATTATGTGCCAGTTAACCTTCTCCCTGCTGACTCTAGTGTTATCCCAAATCCATCTGCCTTTAATTTGGCCCCAGACAGTACCAGGAGGAAACAGTCTCCTTGCCTCATCTCTTAGCCTCAGCAGCTTCTTCATAATCCAACTGAAGTGGCTTTTACAATCAATATCCCAGAAGCTCACATTTGTAAAGCAATACTCATGAAGCCATGCAATCCAAAGAGAACCATTATTAGCTAGAATGTTTTTAATAAGCAACAAGCAACAGGTTTTATTCCAGAGAACAAGGTCCCTGAGCCCTAGGCCCCCTTCTGATTTCAATGAACAGATCTGACTCCAGCCCACACGAGCTCCTCTAGCAGGGGAGTCACAGCCTTTCCAGAAAAAACGCATACAAATCCTCTCTATGTCCATAATAATCCCTTTAGGGAGGATGAGTTGTCTGCTCCAGTAGTTAAAGATACTGAAAAGAACAGTCTTAACAAGTTGTAATCTTCCGCCAAAGCTAAGTTTCTTAGTGGACCATTGACTAAGCTTGCCTTTAATTCTTTCCAAAAGAGCATCACAATCCTTACTTGTGAGTTTACGAGTAACCAGGGGTACCCCGAGGTACCTAACTGGGAGATGAGCCACCCTAAACCCAGTAGCCAACTGAATCCGATTAAGCAAATTATCATTCAAACCACAAGCATAAAGTTTTATCTTCATTGCATTCAACTTAAGACCAGATAATTCATAAAAACTCTCCAAGGTGCTCAGAACACCCAGAATAGATTCAAGGGAGCCATGACAGAACACTAGTAAGTCATCCGCAAAGCAAAGATGAGTGAGGGAGAGCCTCTTACATTTAGGATGAAATCTGAAAATTCTCTGTCTGGCAGCAGCATTCAAAAAAGAGGACAATACATTCATCACAATGACGAAGAGATAAGGGGATAACAGATCCCCTTGTCTAACACCCCTTGCCCCCTTAAAGAAGCCCACCAAGCTACCATTCAAACAAACAGAGTACATAGGGGTAGAAATACAAACTTTGATCCAATTGCAGAACGCAGAGGGAACCCCCATGGCCTCAAGAACAGAATACAGAAAGGACCAACTGACAGAATCAAAAGCCTTCTGCAAGTCAATCTTGATTGCACATATAGGAGAAAGACTCTTCCTAGAGTATCCTTTCACTACCTCCTGAGCTAAGAGAGTATTATCAACTATATTCCTTCCTTTGACAAAGGCAGACTGATTATGGGAAATCATACCAGAGAAGTAAGGAGTAAGCCTATTAACAAGTATTCTAGTGATGGTTTTATAGACCACTGAACAACTAGAGATAGGCCTAAATTCCTTAGCCAAACATGCATTTAAGGACTTAGGGACCAGAACTAATGCAGTGGTATTAAATGCAGGCAGCAAACAAGAAGTTTGGAAGAAGTACCTTACAACAGCAATGAAATCACTACCAACAATGTCCCAGGCAGCTTTGAAGAAGCCAGCAATGAACCTATCAGGACCAGGGCTTTTGTCCTTTCACTGCCTAAACAGGGCTTCTTTGATCTCAACATCACTTACCTCCTTGATTAGATATGTAGCAACATCCTCAGGTAAAGAATAGTTCAGTAGATTTCTCAGATTACCAGCTGAACAACCTTTAACTAAAGGATCAGGGGAGCCAATGAGGTTAGTAAAGTAGCCCACTAACTCAGCAGCCATTCCTTCAAAGGAGTCATAGGTCTGCCCAACCTCATCTTTGATAACTCTAATTGTGTTCTTTTTCTTGTTGGATTGGACTCTCTGGTGGAAGAACTTAGTGTTCAAATCACCATCCTTAAGTCAATGAACTTTGGCTCTCTGTCTGAAGAAATCAGATTCAGCAATCTCCAAGTCAACTAAATCAGCATGGATTCTTCTTTCTTCATCAATGCTTCTCAGATTTGAAAGGGACAGATGACGAATTTGCATTTGGTCCAGTTCATTCCTTTTGGTCCTGACTCTGCCAGAAATATCAGAAAAATATTTCAAGTTGAACTCCTTGAGAAGAGGCTTAAGTCTTCTCATCTTATTAAACAAGCAACACATGGCATATCCGCTACAATAAATCTGCCAAGAAGCCCTGACAGTATCTAAAAATTGAGCATGCCCAATTCAACAGTTAAAAAACTTAAAAGGACGAGGTCTCATGGCCATAGCACCCTTGTGAGTCCACAGAAGTCCAAGACAATGATCAGAAACACCCTGGGCCTTGAATTCCACAAAGGATTCTGGAAAGTCCAGTAGCCATTGATCATTTACCAAAATTCTGTCCAATTTACGGGCTAAGAAGCCATCCTCTTGTTTGTTGGACCAAATGAATGGAGGCCCGAGAAAAGGGTGGTCCATAAGGTCAAGCCCCTCCAAACAGTCTTGAAAATCCTTCATATCAGGGGTGCAATGGACTCCCATGACATCAAAATCAGAGCTCTCCTCAGCCTTGGCAATGATATTGAAGTCTCCCCCAATCAGCCAGGGAGAGGAACCAATAACATTCTCAACAGTATGCAAGTAGTCCCAAAGAGCCCTTCTAGATACACCAAGGTTACTACCATAGACAGCAGTAATAGTTGTGCTATGACCACTAACAGTCCCAATGATAGAGATAGCTTGGTCACAGCAGCTCAGAATAGAAAACAATAAGTGCTTCCTCCAGAAAATCCACAGTCTACCCCCATCAGCATAATTGTAATTCTCCACAAAATTCCAATCACAAGATAGAGCAGCAGTAAAATTAGCATAATTAACCCGTCTAATGCGCATCAACACTATAAGACTCTAACCTCCTCAGCACCTTCAACTGTTTAAGAAGGTTATTTATCCCCCTTACATTCCAAAACTAACAATCATTAAACTGGGATTTGCTGGGCACAGTTGTCAGTGCCTAGATTAACCACTGAACTCTTAGCCTTCTCAAGATGATCCTTCTTCCTCTCTTTTATCTCATTGAGAAGAACAACCACACCCATAGAGGCAACACGAGCTTTCCTAGGAGCATCAGCCACAACCTCTACTTGAGGAGCCAAAATTATCTTTTTTCCTACCCTTTACCTTCTTCTTAAGAGAGTCCTGCAGAGAAGGAAACTCCCCAGGAGGAACAACTCCCTGCAAATGTTGGCTGTCACCCTTATCTGCATCACCATGAGTCAACCCATACACACCAGAATCAACCATCTTCAGAGTCTCAGAGGACAACATAACACCAGAATCTGCAGTAGCATTCTTCATGGTAACCTCTAAATTGGGCTCATCAACCTCCTGCAATGCCTGCATTGTAGTTTCCATGGCTTTACCAACCTGCAGTACCATATTAGTCCCCAAGTCCTTGGAATTGTTAACACTGCCAGTAGGGAGATCTGAGCTAGACGCCTTGGAAGTCCCCTTAGCAGCATCATGAACAACAGCCAAAATATCCTTACTAACAAATTCAGAAGCACTGATGTCTTTCCTTCTCCAAACTTGTATAACATAAGTGTACATTTAAATTTTCGAATATATATATATATATATATATATATATATATAACTTCATTTATTTATTTTTTTTTGTATTTCAGGTGGTGGTTCTAACTTGAGAAGAAGGCTGCTCATCGGTAATAGAATCCCCTGGTTCTACACTGTTTCATTCTTAGACAGTTAATTGATTGCATGATAGTACATATATATTTTTAAAATATTAAAAAATACATAAATTATTAAAAAATTTAGAAAAATTGATTTTTTTTTATAAAAAATATATAAATTTAAGAATAATTTAACAAATGTATCAAGAAAAAAGAAAGAAATTTTAAAACCCTAGGTCCCATGCATTTGTTTGGGAAATTTTTCTAATTCAATGTCAAAGTAGATATTCAAGTATTGTTTCATCAACTGAAAAATTAAACATTAAATTTTTAATACATAATTTTATAAAATTTGAATTTATTTATATGCCTGATCAATTTTCTGCTTATATGACAGGCCTTGTTAGTGGAGCAGGTGGTCTACTGATCAGCTGTATCATCCTTCTCTGCTTTACAAGAAACAAGTTGCGCATTACAATAGCTACCTTTCTTCGGAAATTCACAAACAAAGATCAAGATCTTGAGGCTTTCCTGAGAAACAATGGAACTTTAACTCCTAAAAGATACAGTTATTCACAAGTCAAGAAGATGACGAACTCATTTAAAGAAAAGCTCGGACAAGGAGGTTATGGAAGTGTTTACAAAGGGAAGTTACCCGACAACCATCTTGTTGCTGTCAAAGTGCTTAATACCTCCAAAGGAAACGGTCAAGAGCTCATTAATGAAGTTGCTAGCATCAGTCGAACGTCTCACGTTAATATCGTCACCCTTCTAGGCTTTTGTTTGGAGGGTGGGAAAAGAGCCTTGATTTACGAGTTCATGTCGAATGGATCTTTAGAAAAATTCATCTACGGAAAAAATACTTCAGAGGACGACGACGGTCGGCTCCTGACGGCCAAAGACTTGTATCGAATCGCGGTCGGAATAGCCCGTGGTCTTGAATACTTGCACCTCGGCTGCAACACTCGCATTCTGCATTTCGACATAAAGCCTCATAACATTCTTTTAGACGAAGGGTTCCGTCCGAAGATCTCCGATTTCGGGCTCGCGAAACTATGTCGCGGGACCGATAGTGTTGTGTCGATGATGGAAGCTAGAGGAACGATGGGTTACATTGCTCCGGAAGTGTTTTGTAGGAACATCGGAAGTGTTTCGCATAAATCGGATGTGTACAGCTATGGGATGATGATTCTGGAGATGGCTGGAGGAAGAAAGAACCTGGACGTTGGGGTACATGAGAGCAGTGAGATATATTTTCCACATTGGATTTATCAGCATCTTGAGCAAGGCAATATTGAACCGGAATTGCTTGGTGTTTTGAGTGAAGAAGAAGCAGAAACTGCAAGGAAGATGATAATAGTTGGCTTGTGGTGCATACAAACAAATCCTAAAGATAGGCCTTCCATAAGTAAAGTCAGAGAGATGTTAGAAACCAAAGAAGCCTTGCAAATTCCACCAAAGCCATAATTTTTTATACTTTTGACTAAATAATTATTTTGATTTTTATTCTTATTTAATTGGTACTTTAACTTTAAATAGAAATATTTTTTCTTAAACCGAAACGTTGGATCAAAATACTCTAAAAAAATAAATAAGAATTAAAGTGAATATTTAATCGAACGTTATTAAATAAAATGTGTTGTTATATTTTTCTTTTGAGTCGAGTGTATGAAACTTTTGGCAGCTGTTGTTTTGGGACCTTAGTTGCCCATATGTTTGTTCCCTGGGCTGTTATGCGCTCTATATCCCTTGATTCATTTAGTGAATTTCAATTTTCTCAATGAAAAATAGAGTTAATTTCATAGGAGATCCCAAAATTATGTAATTCATTTTAAATTAATTCTTAAATTTTAAATATTTTATATTAATTCTCAAACTTTGATCTCATTTTAAATTGGTCCTTAAGTTTAAATAAAATTATATATCAATCCTCAATCTTTCATTATCATTTCATTTTGATCATTTCATTTACGTATCATTAATTGTTTTTAAAGGTTATGAGAATGGAATATGAGACAAAAAAAACTAATATACTTTCAGATATTTTAAATATTCTAAATTTCTATAATTTTAGATTTTTTAAGTATTTTCTATTGAAAATTTATTTTCGTCTCCTAAAATTTTGTAACTTTTTCTCACCTTCAAATTTTATAAATTCGCTCCATAACATAAAATATTGTGTTCTTTGCCAGCTGCAATGTAGGAAAACGCTAATAAAACTAAGAAATAAATTCCACTATTATATACTTAGATTGTGACATATGTATACTTTTATATTAGAGATGTAAATTTGAAAGATTATATTAAAATTATGTAAGGTATAAAACTATAAAATTTCAAAAGTTTGAATTTATAATAACAAACAAAAATATAAAATATATTTAATATATATGAAAATTTAAAAATTTGGAGATGCAATTGCAAGTCGCAGTCAACACTTTCAGTCAAACAAACAAATAAAGAATATTAAAAAAGAAAAGAGAATTAGCTCAAAATTTGAAGAATTCATTCAAGACTTATCCACATGATGTTTGCATGCATCCCATTTACCATTCAATGTATATATATATATATCGCCAGGAAATTTAGAAACTTGGTGTTGTAGTGGAACTGCCATTGCTAACCCATTTGATCATCACAGAATCTGGAGAACGAGGCATGGGTCCACTCTTCAACAATCCACCTTCCTCCTCTGCAGGAAACATATCCATTTCTTCGGCGTTTCCTTTCTTGTAATCATCATTCTTTATCACCATCAAAGCCTCCAACACTTGTGCCATTGTCGGCCTCAAGTCTTTCTCGTTTTGCAGGCACCGGAATGCCACCTCCGCCACTCCGGTTATCATTCTCCTAACCTTGTTGTTCGATTCGAACCCGAGGGAAGGATCCACCAGCTCATGCAATGCTCCATTTTGAATCTTGTTGATGGCCATGTTCCGCAAGTTGATCTCGTGACGGTGCCTCGTGATGTCCACGGCCGGTTTCGATGATATTAGCTCGATCAATACGACCCCGAAGCTGAATACGTCGCTCTTGCTAGTAAGCTGGTAGCACTGGTGATATTCGGGGTCAACGTAACCGGGAGTCCCTTGCGGAGCAGTGGAAACATGTGTGACATCGGATGGAAAGAGTCGGGACAGTCCGAAATCGGCGACCTTAACATGAAAATCCTTGTCGAGGAGGATGTTGTTGGTTTTCACATCACGGTGGATGGTATCCGAAGCATGGAGATATGTCAATGCACTTGCAGTCTCTATGGCTATCTCTAGCCGGATGTGCCAAGAGAGTGCCCCAGGTTTGGCAAGTTCACCATGAAGATGGTCTGCAACGGTGCCATTCGATATATATTCGTATACAAGCAAGAGCTCCCGACTGTGCTTCGACGTACTTCCGTAAAGTGAGACGAGATTTTGATGGCGCAACCGAGTTAAGATCTCAACTTCGTTCATGAATTGCTCAACTCTCTTGTAGTTGTGTTCGTACAAGCGTTTAACAGCGACAGCTCGACCGTCTCGAAGTTTGCCTAGTTAAGAAAGACGGAAATGAAAATCGGTAGACTTTTCGACAGACCGATGATTCGAGTATAAAGTTTTTCTTACCATAATATACAGTTCCAAAGCCTCCATCACCAAGCTCCCTATTCGAGTCGAAATTGTTGGTAGCTTCTTCAAGTTCCTTATAGGTGAATACATGGACGAAATCAAAGCTATCACCCTTCTCACCATCGACCACCGATGAGCGGTCCAAAGAGTTCTTGCTGGTAAGGAAATATGATTTGAAGATCCCTTTACCGCGACGACGTTGTAGCCAAAAATAGAAGACGGCACATGAGATTAGTATTCCTCCAGCGGCGGCACAGAAACCTGCATATGTTCACATCGAAACTTCATTTCATTTCCGAAAAAAAAATGCATGAAGCAACCGTCTAAGAATGAGACAGAGGAGGATCAGGGGATCATATTACCGATAAGCAGCTTTGTGTGCAAGCTATAACCGTGATCTGAAATACAAAAGAAGAACAAGAAGTTATATCTTTGTATTAAACTTGCCAATGAAGTTAGGGGCCACTGCCAAGGTAATAGTGTAAATGAAAGATAATTGATAACTTGCCTCTCAAGTACAATCGATTAAGGAAGCTAAAATGAAAACAAAAAATAAAAAAAATGAAGAAGTCATGGAAGGAAGCATTGGTAGAGTTAGAATGTATGCCCTATGCAGTTACCATCGTTGCAGGTCCTAGGATGAGGTCCGTCCGAGCAAAAGCAAACGAATTCATGAGTATAACCAAAACCGCAGCGGCCTCCACTTCTCTTACAGTTGCTGCAACTATGTGCAGTCCAGTTCAAAACGAACCCCAACTTCAAAACGTCGGTATAATTCATTCCTAATAAGCTAACGAAACTAACATCATTGTCGACATACACGGGGGATTCGATCAGAGTCCGGCATGAATCGATCGAATAATTAGTATTCTCCAAAGCTTCTTTGTGGAAAACAGCAAAGGAATGGAATGAAGTATTGCTAGCGCAATTTACTGGATACGTATGGTACGTCGGTTGCCCCTCACAGTAGTATAAAAAGGAAAGATTGACATTATCAGGACTAAGGCTAAACGGAGTTCGATCGAGACTAACATTTTCCCGTGGAGTCGGACAATAACCCTCATGAACTACAGCGTTGACAACAAGCAATGAATTGTTGTTGTAAAATATATCTCTGACGATGTAAGTTTCCTCAGAAATTTTGAGTATAGGATCTTTCCCTTTGCAGGTGATCTCGAAGTTCGGGTAGCCGCAAAACGATTCTTGTTCTTCAAAAATCCAAAAAGGGTAGCTTATATCCGGACCGTTACCACAGCTTCGAGGCATACAAGCTTCGAAGTGCGAGTCGTCGGACAGGGTTCCGGGTGCCATTGCTAAGGTGGTCAAGAAGATGATCATTACATAGGGAAATGATCTGAAATTTATCAGCTTTTGTGGATCCATTTGAGGAGAAAGCAATAAGGGATAGCATGAACTAGAAATGGGAAGAAGAAGAAGTAGTAGTTGAAGGAAATTGTATTCTTCTAGAGTTGACGGTATTTGAACTTTTAATTTATGAATTAATTGTGATCCAACTTTGAAAAGGAAAAAAAAATTAAGGAGAGCACAAAGATATTGTTGTTTAGTGTACAACTTCCCACCTAGATTGACCATACTATATTCATATCAATGGTGTAGCTTTGCCTGATCTCATGCATCCATTTAAGGGAACTCTATGGGCCAATAAACTATGCATTTTATTTCAAATGATTTGGTGCCGCCTACCCTTCTAATTGCTTCAATGGAAGCCAACTTATGCATAAAACCCACCACAAATATATTTAGATTTACATTTAAATTTATATTGTACTTAAAAGTTATTATTTTGGTTAAAATAAGTACTTAAAATATTTTTATTAAAATAGTTATCTAAAAAATACTATGTTTTTTTATTTAAATTCTTAAAATATTTTTAATCAATATCACGTGTCAATTTTATAAATTTTTTTAATTAAAATACCAAAATATACTTAAAGTAATTGAATGAAAAGGATTGTATACTTTAAGTAATTAGTTGAAATATAAGACATATTCATTATATGTCTGCAACGTGATAAACATAATTTGACTATAATGATAATACTAATTTAAAAAGATTTGAATGGACTAAACTGCCCTTTATAGTTGGGTGAGAGGAAATCTCATTTGATATGGAAAAAATGTCTATACCTACCCATTACTAAATGGTGTGGAATTATAAAAACAAAAGGTTTTGGTGGTTGAACAGTAAACGAAAGGATCAGCAAACCTTTCGATTTCCATTCGATGTGGGAAACGATGGGTCTAAAGCATCAGAAACATGTTTCTCAGATTTGTCAACTCAAGTTAAGAAACTTGAACAGTACAGAGAAAAGAAATTTGGGAAATGAAGGCAAAAATGTGAGCAATTGACGGATTCAAAAGTTGGACATTAATGGAAGCTGCTGATTAAACACCAGGAATGGTTTATAAGGTGGCCCCGCCATGGAACTAAACGTCAAAATGATTTGATCATGTTAAGACCAAAAGCTTGTCTGTTATTGGCCATAAAAAAAAGGCAGGTGTAAAAGGAAGAAAAACAGATACCATGAATGGGTTTTCCTCCATGGAAAAGGAAGGAAGATGATGACATCCATTCATGGCGGAAGTTTATGAAACGAGGCCGGTGTATAGTTTTTCTTTATTTTGTTTATTTTATCATCTAAATTCAAAATTCGTGATTGTTACTCCTAATAATATCGTCTACAAGATAATAGGAATAGTTTTAAAGGAAAGTAGAGAGTAGAAATTTCCATGGGATTGAAAGAAAGAGAAAGGATGGCAGGTGGCTGGTGAAAGATACTAGTAGAAAATGTTAGCAGCTTAAGTTTCAATTGTCTAAATATAAACGCTAATTCACCTGCAACAGAGAATTGTTCCAAGACCAAGTCCATATTCAAAGTAGTTGCCCAAATTAACTATTAAAATTAAAAAAAAATCTAAAATTTAATATTCATTTCTACAATTTAATATATTAATAAAGTCTTATTTTGATGGTATTATTGCTACTAGACCTATAATGGTCCAAAAGACAAGCCCAGTAGGCCGAATGAAGAAGAATAAGAGAGAAGATATGTTTTAAAAATGTAAATTTGATTTTAATCTATTAATTATCACTATTAGTATCTGTAATCTATCCACAAACACCTACAACAGCGCGTTGGTTAGAAGATACGTGGTTTGACTCATACCATTTTTGAGTTGTACAATGTAGACCGGAAAATTAAACGAGACAAACACAACACAATTTCACAGAACAGGTTGTCTAATGAATTCACCAGATTTTAGCAATCAATTTGATGTGGATGAAGAATGGAGTTTTTAGAGATTGTGCGTACCATGCGTTTTGCAGATTGGGTATTGAGGTGAAGTCATGTTATCGCATAAACCTTTGTGGCTGTTGCATTTCCCACAGAAAATTTCAGGCAGATCATATTGCACGTCAAATCCCAGTCTCCATCTCCCAGATTCAAAATTTTCCGGATCTTCTGTTTTTAGTCGTCCGAAAATGCTGTCATTAATCTGAACTTGGATTGCGCCGCCACGACAAGAGCTGCTAAACCGTTCATAAGAACCTCTCTCAACTAAATCATCGGCGTAGAAAGAAATTGACCCTTGGGTGCACGTAAATCCAACTCCATCTCTTGGTACTACTGATTCGTTGCAATCGTAAAAGAAAGTAAGGTTTCGATTTGTTGGATGGAATCGAAAGAAATGGTTTCCCAGAGTCATGTTCTGTTTGCTAGTTGGATTACAAATTCCTTCCCACAAATCTTCTCTAGCGATTGTCATTCTATAACCGGGTTGATCGACGAAGACCAACCGAAATTCAGCCTCACCGATTTTTATGACGGGCTCATCGTCCTCCTCCTCGCATTTGGTCAACTCAAAGCCTTCATTGTGACAGATTTCAGGGCTACCTTCCTTCCAAAATGGAAACAAGAGGTTCTGTATGTTTCCACAACGGAAAGTTTCATAACACTGATTAATACTTGCAGTATTTTGGGTATATGATATTGGGAGCTGAGCGAAGAACAGTAAGTTGAGCAAGAAAGTGGAGGAGGAGATTGAAGGGAGGTGATGATGCATTTTTTGAAGTTGTGAATAGGGAGGAACTGCGAAGGGGAAAAAATATATAAAAATTTGGAAAATTATGCATTCTTTCAAGGGTTAAAATGTAAATAAATTGGACTGTCCCATTTGACCAAAAATAAATAAGATAAGAAGATTACGTAGCTTGTTTAGAAATTTCCATGCAAGACAAGCTGACAGGAACAGCTGATAGTTTTTGACTTGTACGATGGTTGGTAGAAAACGTAATGCATTAGAGAAGCTACGTTGAAATTTCATCTCTTCATTCAAATTTCCTAAACCTGTTTCAATTATATTAATTTGATATTTATTGTTCATATTTATTATATAATTTATATTTAATATTCATGATTATTTATTCTCACGCTTGCATTTGAAGTTATAATATAATGAATTTAGCTTAACAAAAGCAAAATAAAAAAAATTAACGATGATCATGCTAATCAATGGAAAACGATTCGATACTTGGGTTGTTTAAATTCTATCTTAACAAGCGTGTTTATTTTAATGATATGTAAGTTATTTATAATTTATAATTTAGGGTTTAAAGTTTGAGATTTATTGTTTAATTTAAATTTTATATTTTAAGAATAGTTGAGTGAAGGCTACATAACTTGCATATCAAATAATAACTTACATTGATAGTCATTTATTAAATTTTAATTACATTTATTGGTTTAACGTGTTATAGAAACGTTATTAGTTGGTGTAAGCGTATTATAATATTTTTATTGTATCATAATTGCAACTAATACACTGATTATTTAACAAAGCAACACTGAGAGGACCATTTGTGGTTGTTTTAATATGTAATTTAGTAAAGAACCATGAAAACTTTTGTTAAGGTTAGGAGTTAAAATTATAGCGTGTACGAATGAAATAAATTGGGTTAGAAGGATCGTCTTCACCTCTATAGAATTCATTCCAAATTAATCGATTAATAAATCGGATATAAGTGATTATAAAAAAACACATCGAGAGTGCTTTGAGTTTTGTTTATTGTTTTTGTTAAAGTTTGACTCGAATTTAAAATGACACACTTTAATTGAGAATTTATTTAGTTTCCTTTTGTAATAAAGTATATATCCCTATAAATGGATAGTAAAAGTTAGATATCAAATTTTTCTTTCTCGAAAATCCTCTTGTATTTTTTTTCATATTAGTGAAATTCTTCTCGTATGCCCGTGATTTATCTCTTTTCGATTTTTTGCGTAAATCTTGGTGTTATTTGTTTTCTCATATTAGTCATTTTATATATTTATTTTTGAATTCGAATAATATAACTTATTGTGATAAATAAAATTCTTACATTATACATTTACAAACCTATTGCTCTGATTCCAAATTTTAGAATAAAAAAATCATAATGTTATAACTTTGGTCGTCCAGTTTCATAATATATTTTAACATGAATTTTATGTTGCAAGCAAACAATATACGATTCTTATTTGATGTTGTGAAGCAAGACACCCATCCACCATTGCAATAACTCCATGTAAGAGCTCCCCAATTCTGAACCAATAAGCTGAGGGTTGGCTTCTCCTTGCCCAATTCGGACAAGAGTGTAGGCTTTTTTCCCAGAACGCATGATCAGTTCCTTCATCTGATGGATCATGTGAAGGTAGCCAGATGCAGAAAACTTACTGTCATTGAGAACACTCTCTGAAGCATGTTCTGATAAGTCTTACACTATGAACGAACCCTCGATTTAAACATCGAAATTCTTTAGAACGGGTTACTATCATAACCCAAGAATGACACTTGGCTTCCATAATTCGATTTCGGAAAAGGCAATCACAAGAGTGTCCTCTGCATAATAAGTTCAGGAGGAACCGACGTGAAAACCTACCTACACCAAAGTGTTCCTACTAAAATCCCAAACATATTAGCATCTTTTGCTCTCTCCACTAGATAATATCTGCAAGAAACACCGGTCACATAGTGCCAGAAAGTAACAACCGTATTGGTAGGGCATAAGGAAAACCGAGAGAATGTATCATGTAATTAACGATACGACTAAATAGAACACAATTATGGATGATGTTAGCTCAGAAAGACCAGTAAGAGAAATTCGGCGAGAGGTAACAGAATAAGCCGTGGAAGCATGAAAAGTTGAAAGGCATACCTACGCTCAAGGATCCTCTTCTGTTGCATCATATGTGACTAAAAACAAAGACCGAATTATAAACAAATAGCTTTTCATGAAGATAGAGTAGCATATCCTTCTAATTGTTAATGTGTGTACACACAGCACTAGGAAAAGCTAATTTTCCAAAAGCATCAGTAGGAGAAAAAGGGTTCAACAAGATGAAATAGAGCTTCGTTGATCAAAAGGTCTGAGAAAGTCTAGAAATAGCATGGAGAGAGGATTTCAAGCTGGTATCGCCAGACTAGCTATTGAACCAAAAATACGCAAGGATGTGAAGTCCACTGATGAAATAGAGTAGCTATTGCTCCTTCCGACTTTTAAATACTTAAAAAATTCTTATTCTTTAAATATAAAACACCTCAAACTTAATAAATTCTTATTCTTTAAATATAAAACACTTCATCATTTGATCGTAACTCCGTCCTGCCACCGTATGAATTGAAAATTACTAGTTTTAAAATAACACAATTTCAAACTACAGTTCATTGTAAATAAAAGCAAGGTAAAGATTTAGAAATAATTAATAAACATGAAATAATGTACGATTGGAAGTTTGTGAACATAAAACCCATGGAAGCAGTAATAGCATTGAAATTTTAGCACTTATACAGGTGCAAAAGTATGTCAAACACGTAGTAGTAGCATCCCCAGTTTCATGTTCCGATTCTCATGGGAACATACACCAAATTGTCTTATATTCTCAAGTTTACTGTGGGGTATAAAATGTAAAAGTCGGAAGCTGCATGAACCCCATGCAGCAATTATGTTCTCCAGCCGCTTTATCCTTACAATATGTAGCAATACATCATTTCATTTACACAGCTCAGCGCTGGAATTCTTGCAAGCTCAGACAATTTCTTTTTATTGACTATAAAACGGGTGATGAAAGAGAACGGTTAACTTCAGTTATCACGCATAACCCTTTCCGAATCACGCCAACCCCACTTCTCTAAACCCCATTTTACCCACTTTTCTCCGACGCCTTACCCAAGGATGTGAAGTTCAATCTGCGAATCACAAAGGAAATGGCAAGGCTCAATTGTGATATAGCAAACAACTGAGAGTTATAGATTTACCAAACGAACTCAATTGCAATTTACCTTATTAGTGGCTTCCTCTGGACCACAGGTGCAACCGGAATTGATGGCATTGCAGTAAGTTCTGTAGGCTGCAAGTGAAAACTAGTAATAGTCAGAACATTATCAATCCTTCGTAAAAACAAAAATCAAAATTCAATCTTGTGAACATTCTGAGATTCCCAAAGAGGTAAAGCAATATTTACATGGTATGATAATCTTGGTTTTGGTTGAATTATCATTTATTTTTTTTATAGAAGTTGAATTATCATTTATAATTGCATATTTTAAATAACTAGTCAACTCATTGTCCCAAACATTGTTCAAAGGAATCTTCGTATAGCAACCTTAAGAAATCAATGTAGCCATTCTTATGAGATGACATCCAACAAGTATGGTGTTCGAACGCCAACATCTACAACTATACCCTATCTCCAGGCTGCGACCATATTTGTGCCCCAAAAAATATGGTTATACATAGTAGTTGAGATATCAGAGCCTCCTCATGCCCAAAAAGGCTTTATAATTATAAAGGGCGGGAAGAAATTTTTGTTTTCAGGCACAATGGTACACTTGACAGTAAACAAGGAGCAGTGCTCAAGTAAATATAAGCAAGAGAATCATATTCAAGATATCTAGCAATGTAGATAAAGTTGATAGAAATTAGTAATGATTAAGAAAGGAAGCAGGACGAACCTCTAACTCTTCAATACCACCACTAGCATGTAAATTAAGGGAAGGACCGGCTCCATCACTTGATAATACTGGTGATGCTCCTGCCGAATCCGACACTGAAGACTGCAGAGGGCCATTATTAGTATTCCCCACAGAGACTATTGGGTTCCTAAATTCTAAATCTTCAAGCTCTTCAGGTTCCTCCAAAGCTTGGTGGGAGACATATGGACCAGACATTATTTGCTCGATGGCCAAGTTCTCTGCCTCTATAGAACTTTCATCATAGGTAGTAACATGCAAACCCTTATGTCCATCAACCTCACCGTTATGGGAAGAAAGTTGTTCCATACTAAGATTTTTTGAGCCATTCATCATATTGCTCTCAGCATTTCCCTTTGTTTGTTCAACTGATCCTGTTGCATCTAGATACTCACCCTTTGTGGAACAAGAACTCACAATGCTAGCAAGACAACCAACTTGAACTTCCGGACTAGAAGATGGCACAGCAATAACACATTTTCCGTTTTTCGATTGAGCATCTGCATTGTCTTCTACCCTCTTCCTCTTCTTTCCATCAACCTGTCCAACTGCAACTCCTTTAACTTCACTCGACTTGTCTGATCCAGCATGTAGAGAAACGTTTGCATCCGATAACCTTCTACTATCCCAGGTCGTTTTAGATGGACGGGAAGGGCGGACACCACCAGGAAATACGAAGCTAGGTATGTTTCTACGTTTTACATGGGATACACGGATCTCCATTCCAGACTTCCGCAAAGTGTACGCATTAACAGTGTGTTTAAACTCCTCTACAGTTAACCTTATATCAAATTGTTCACTTCCATTTACTGGAACTCCTTGTTTGCGTTGCAAACCCATAAAGTAACTGCAATGGAAGGGCCTAGATTTGTCTTGAAAATCACCAGGATGTGGGTGGCACTGAAGCATGTTATACGTGTGCCTTTCAATCTAGATTTAAAAATAAACAATTGAAAAAGAATTACAATAGTTTAGAAGCATCAAAAAAATAATATCAGATAGGGCATTGAACACCAATTCAGAATTTTATAAGAGGTAAGTTGGGAAATTTTCAAGAGGGTATATCTAGAACTCTAGTAATATGTCCCCTCTTGTACAAAACGAATATAATTTTCACCTTCAATGTGAGTTGACGGAGACGGGACTCAACCCAGCCTTTCCATTTTCTTAAATCATCATCATTTTCGGCAGAGATGTCTATTTCTAGATAATTCTTATATGCATCAAAGAATGCATAAGCCTCAAAAAGGGTATCCCAGTCAGCTTCGTTTGCCTCCATAGCCTGCAAGCACTAAAAATGTTAACAGCAAGTTCAAAGACAAAACAATATGAAATATAGAAATTATTGAACAAGGTATGAAGAAAATCAAACAATCAAGTTTTATTGTCCTTCTGGAAACAAAAATTGGACAGTGAAGGATTTTGAGTTCAGCTTTGAACAAGTTCTTAGATGGGAAGCCATTCAAAAGTGCACGGACTTATATATGAACCAAACCTGCCTATACATTTACAAGTTTAGATGTTAAACTTTCAAATGTTGTCTTTGATTATGTACATCCCAGAAAAACTACTTGGGCCAGGAATTGGAGGAATCCAGCCATTAAACTTATTCCACCTAGTTCACAATCCGAACACAAGCCATTAAAAGACTTAAATTTGTTTAAATAGTGGGTAATACTTAATTATGCAAACAAGAGGCCCAAACCCCAATCCTATTTTTCCAACGAAACTTTAAAGTCAATCATAAATTGAGGTCTTAACTTTCACTAAGAAGTTGATTATCTTCCACTTACATTGAAATAATTCAACAATCATGAGTGCTCAAAAAATATATGGCAAAGAAAGACGCAACAAGATTATGAATCCACCTAGAAACCGCTTTGAATTTCAAACAACTTTGAGCAGTAGGTCCCAAACCCCAGAGTCAGCTCTAATGGAAAGGAGTTATTGCTATGATGAAAACTCAAAAGTTCTTACAAATGCATCACATCAGCTGGCATTGCCTTTTCCAAATCAATTGCTTAAAAGTTGATGTAAGTGGACACATTTGTACATAAAATATACAAGACTTTTTTCTGATATAAGATCAGTATCTTGACTTCCCCTCATGTTCTTATCTCTATTCTCTCACTCTCTCCTCTTTCCACCCTTTCACACCAACATTTCTCTTATTACATCTTGGTATCAAGATGCATAACTCATACTCTCCAATACAGTCCCCAAACTCAAAACCTCAACATCTTTCCACTTGAAACAAACATCGCCATTTCTTCTCTCCTCAGACTCTCCCTTATCACCTTATTCATGCCAAAAAAAACTTGAAGATGTAAGAAAGTTTTTTGTTTGCTTTTGGGGTTTGTTGGGGAGGAAAACAGAACTACTTTGCGGGAGATGACATTATACTAATGAAAATAAAACAAGTTGCCATTAACAGATTTGACATGAACCATAACATCATACCTCACAAATTTCACCACCCCTCTGAAATTCATCTGTCATGATTCTCAAAGTACTTGAGGACACATTGTAACTAGAATTCATGGAAGGATAAGCAGGGGTAATTATTGGCATCAAATGATATCTATCTTTTGGGTATTTTCTGGGATCCCAAACTTGAAGACCAAGAGACCTTTCCTCGATTGGACAAAGCAAGACTGGATTTGGCCAACGCCACTGAGTATAAACCCTAAAAAATCGAGAAACTAACATATTGGGCAAAGCATTAGGGTATAGCTGGCATATACGAGCAACAAGCAATGCCCAATTTATACCACCAAGAAAACCAGCAACCTGCCAAAAAAATTACTTGTTCTGTTAAGGTAAGACTAAGAGTAAGGTGATCTAGAGCATAATCTTGCCAATACAAACAACATCTCATACATTAGAATAGACACCACGACGTTTTCCCCAAAACCTCATGCATCTCAAAGTTGTCCGGAAATTCTGCAAGTCGTGTAACAGAACATAATCAAAGTCAAGAATCGCCGGGCAAGAAAAGATCTGTATGCTTAAGATACACAAAGTGAACCAAAACCTGAATATTTGGAACCAAACGTAAAATTTGGTCAGTGACTCTGCAACCATTAAGACTACGAACTGTCTGCTCATCTGTATTTTGTAATATAGAGTCTTGCAAAATATCCAAGTCCTGCACAAGAAATCAACACAAGCTATGAGAATTTTCACATGCATCTCAATTTTTTTAATAAAATAAGAGTTACAATGTAATGACTTTTAAATGAAGAACTAAATCACTAAAAGTCATCTCTCCCTAGACCATAGCCAAAGGTGGGTAAAAACAGCTCCAGTTCACCCTCAGAGTACCTCAAGTGCACATCTCTAAAAACGATTATTACATATTCAAATGCTATCCAAATTTAAAGGTGGTTACAATCCAATATTCTAAGTTGTTCTTTTTATTGTGTTGGAGAGTGTATATTATTCATTGCATGATCACGAATGTTTTTCATCGGATGGCCCACTAATTCTTGATATAAAAAATCAAACAATTCTAACAATTTACATAAGCTGCCAAAACATTCGTTACACTTTCTGTTTGCCCTATCTAACTTACTACAGACATTAAAATGTCTCCAACTTATTACAGCTAACCTCATGTAGGTAACGGCTTCTGTAGGTTACCTAATTCTGAAAACTGATATGGAAAATCAGGTCCAATTCAAAGCTGGAACTGAACTTTTGGGTAACAAAGGAAAACTTTTTCTTCATAGCCACTGGCATCAACAATAAAGTGGAATTAACTGCTTTTCCTTTTGAACTTAAAAAATAAGTCCTAAATTGAGATTATTGATAATTTTATACTTAGATAATCGAGCCAACATAAATTACATACCATAGGCACATCCCTTGTGGTAGAATTTGTTCAATAAAATACATAATGGTATTAACCTGAGGCTTTCTTTTGATTCAGTACCACAACCAAACCTGCAAGCTGAAGCAAACTCTAAACTACAAGGAGACCTAATCAAATTCCTCCATAACTAATTAAACTGCTTCTATTATAGTTATGATAACTCCTACGTTCACTAAGAAGAAGGAAAAGCAAGCCAAAGAAACCAAGTAAATTACATGTGGAGAAGAAAATCTAATGGTGACCACGAAGAGGAGATGACTTATAATTCTCCATGAAGAACTGAATGTCATCATTCATAAACTAAAATACTGACATAACTCATATAATAGTGACTCCACTCATGCAACCAACCTGACATTGCCTCCACAAAGTAAAGGCCCAAATTGCTCTAAGCCTCTAACTATAAACTTCAGGGGAACTAGAATAAAAACAGCTTCATCAGTGAGCTAAATCTTCTTCTAAATAGAAGGTAATAAAATAGAGTAGATGATAATTAAAGGCAGACACAAGATAAACCGGTACATACTTCAGGAATATCCCAAAGTGAGAGTCTTGCATAGAGAAGATCTATGGAAATTCCTTTGAATTTGAATCCCATGACTGGGACATGAGCATCAGGCACTGGGTGCAATTCCGACACTTCAGGCATCTCTGATAGCATCTTGTGCAGTTCACCAAAGAAATCGTCCTACATCCAAACATATTTGAGCATTTTTTTAAAGTTTGTCAATCAAAGCCAAAGCTTTCTCAATATAAAAAAAAAACTGATGCACATAGGCAGTGAAAGATCTGATCGCACTTCTCGTGTTGCATATCTAGGTCCCACACAAAGGGTATCTATATCTGCACCAGGTCCATGTACCTGTTTTCAAAAAGAACACAAATGAAACCCTGAAAAATTAGAACTCCAAATTCAAAAAAGAAGTTAGAGAAACCATGTATATGACGATATTATTATGAAAAAGCATAAAAATCAAGCTCAAAGCGGTACAGACATTAATCAATTGAAAACCTTACACTCCAAAAATTGGATTATAGAACAGCAAATTCTAGACACGGATTTGTCTCCTTTCTTGAAAAAGAAATGAGAAACCAAGATGAAATGTCCTATTCCAGTCATATTGGAGAAACTTAAGTAAAACAAGACAAGATCGTAGCATATTCTAGAATCTAGATCAGACCAAATTAGAACACACATGATACCACTACTATGTAGGTATGTCTAACATTACAATTTTGCACTGGAATAAAGTAAAACCCTAAACAGAAATAGCTGAAAATGTACTTCCACAAAATCCTGTATTGTTTCAAAAATGAAATAGATAGGAGCGCAAGCAAGTACGCTGCATAAAGTACTTTCTTGCCCTTAAAGTTAGACCCAAGCTGAAACAGCTAGTTCAAAGTGGCATCCACCAAGTATTCCCAAGATAGACGGCATTAGCTAGGAATATATAACCAAACATGACAAGCATAATTTTGCAGAAATTTAGACCGTACAAGGTCATATCAATAGTGGCTTGAAGGTAATACAGGAGTACTATGTGTTATCACTTATCCCACGCTAATTCATTACAAAACTTTAGATAAATTAATCCTCATGCATTCTCTTTATAACTTACAGGATTGCAACCAAAGCGAAAATTAAAGACAAATACACAGAAGCAAGGACATGTAGAAATGAGTCATACCCCTAGTCGATAAGAACCAAAGGTGAATATCTTAGCATTTGCTTCTTGAACTAGTTGCTCATTCAAACCTTTGGCACGGACAATTGCTTTAACCCATTTCTTCACAATCTGTTCAAGTTAACAACATCAGCATTAATCACTAGAACCCAAAAACACAAACCCACATTCTATTAGTCAAGCAAGAAATAGTAAGTACCGTACCAAGTCATTAAACTCAAATTCTTAAGAGAAAGTCAAGTAAAAGACTACAAACCTACCCGGTCAAGCTTCCCAAGTACTTCCTCACGTCTACAAGACTCCTCTGGACTCTCATATAATCCCACATCTTGCAAATACTAAAGGTCCAGAATTCCAAACAACCAAATTTCAGAATAGTCTCAAAATAACTTCAAAAAGAATAAATACTGCACAACTACAACAGTGAAAGTACAGTTTAAAAGGAAACCTTCTCGAGCTCTCGGGTTTTAATCACATCATAGTCAGTCGGTCCTCCCAACGAAATAGGTTCCGTGATGCCCAACCTTTGCCCACTGGTTTGATTTCCCAATACATGACTCCCCATTTTTTTTCTTAATTTTTATATTTTTTTCCTTTTTTTCCTCTCACACTCGAGTCTCACTGCTTTTTTTTCTGGCAACAAAATTAGAATTTATCAAAATTTTATTGATAACATTTTCTACAAAGACAATTTTGTTTTTCTTTTCTTCCTAAGATATATAAACATAATAATAAGTGCAGAGGTGAGAATCAAATTATTGCTGATTGTAGCGTATTGGAGAGGATACAAAACAAAACTGAAACTGAAATTACAGAATAAAAAAGCTAATCCTTCTTCTTCTTCTTTTTCCTTATAATAAGACTATAAAGGAAAGCTTACAACATCAAAATTGGGGGTTCTGATTGGAAACCTAAAGCAGGCACAAAACCCAAAAACAAAATACAATTAGAAATTCGAACTCTCGAGAACTTTGAGGTCTCTTCCCTGTGTTGATGACGATGCCTATGGTGAAGTTAACGTTGCTATTCTCCGTTGGTCATGGCGATCGAAGAAGAAGAAAAATAAACCCCAAAAGCCTCCGATAGGAAATATGAATGGACCCTGAAAAAACCAATTAAAAGGGAAATGAAATCAGAGAAAAAATGGGATTACGATGAGGAACATTTTCGAGAGTGAGGAGAATGTTTACAGGGGTTTCGTGACTGTTGAAATGGTTTGCTTTTCTCTTGTATAGGGGAAAGAGGGATACGACTTGGGCCTTATCTTTCCTTCTAAACAGCTGATAGTGGGCGTGACTGACGGTGGATAAAATCAAGGGGGCGTTTGACTCGAAATGTTATTCTCATATTCATTCGAAGTTATTAATCATTTAATAATAAATATTTATATTTATAGGGTTCGAATTTAAAATTTTAAAGAATAATTATTATTATTTTACCACCGAATATCACACCGCTCGTGCCCTTTATTTCTTTTAATCACGTCATGCAAGGAGTATTTTCAAAGGAACTTTTATACAATGTGTCTTTACTTTATGCAATAAAAAATAATAATTCAAGAAACAATAAAAAATATGTGTTATTTTTTATATTTGGATTTAGAAAAAAAGTCCATTTCATGTGAGTGAAAATTCTCTAGTAAAAAAAAAGTTAAAGCCCAAAAGGCCTAAGCAAGGGCCAAAGCTTTCGTTTGAATTATTACTCTCCATTTTCCACCCTTCCAGAACACTCTCCTTTTTCTATATTTTCCCTCTCTTTTCTCGGTTCTTCTAGGGTTTTTCATTTCTGATCCACCCCATCATTTCCAATCCTCAGCTTCCATCCAAGACGAATCCAGAAATGGCCGCCGTAACTGCAGCCCCCCCGCGCTCTTCCAAGACGGAGTCCTATGTGGACAACAAGCGCAAAGAAGACATCCGCCAAGCCAACATCAAAGCAGCCCGATCCGTGGCTGAAGCCGTCCGAACCAGCTTAGGACCCAAAGGTATGGACAAAATGATCTCATCCGCCAACGGCGAAGTCATCATTACCAACGACGGTGCCACCATCTTAAACAAGATGGAAGTCCTGCAACCCGCCGCTAAAATGCTCGTCGAACTCTCCAAATCTCAGGATGCCGCCGCCGGTGACGGTACCACCACAGTCGTCGTCATCGCTGGCGCCCTCCTTAAGCAATGTCTCACACTTCTCTCCCATGGTATTCACCCCACTGTTATATCCGATTCTCTCCACAAGGCTTCGACAAAAGCGGTCGATGTTCTAACTGCCATGGCCGTTCCCCTCGAGCTCTCCGACCGCGAATCGTTAATCAAATCCGCTAGTACTTCGTTGAACAGTAAGGTTGTTAGCCAATACTCAACTCTTCTGGCTCCGCTTGCCGTTGATTCTGTTCTCTCAGTCGTTGATCCAGCAAAGCCGGATATGGTTGATTTAAGAGACATCAAGATTGTGAAAAAGCTTGGGGGAACAGTGGACGATACGCAGTTGGTGAAAGGGTTGGTTTTCGATAAGAAAGCGAGCCATGCAGCTGGAGGGCCGACCAGAATGGAAAACGCCAAAATTGCGGTAATTCAGTTTCAGATTTCCCCTCCTAAGACTGATATTGAACAGAGTATTGTAGTTTCTGATTATACTCAAATGGATAGGATATTGAAAGAGGAAAGGAATTATATTTTGGGTATGATTAAGAAGATTAAGGCCACTGGCTGTAATGTTTTGCTGATTCAAAAGAGTATTTTGAGGGATGCAGTCACAGATTTGTCGTTGCATTATTTGGCTAAAGCAAAGATTATGGTTATTAAGGATGTTGAGAGGGATGATATTGAGTTTATTACCAAGACTTTGAACTGCTTGCCTATTGCTAATATTGAGCATTTTCGAGCTGAGAAGTTGGGGCATGCGGATCTTGTTGAGGAGGTTTCGCTTGGGGATGCAAAGATTGTTAAGGTTACTGGGATTAAAGATATGGGAAGAACAACTACTGTTTTGGTTAGGGGTTCGAATCAGTTGGTACTTGACGAGGCTGAGAGAAGTTTGCATGATGCTTTATGTGTGGTTAGGTGTTTAGTGAGTAAGAGGTTTTTGATTGCAGGTGGTGGTGCTCCGGAGATCGAGTTGTCGAGGCAGCTTGGTGCTTGGTCTAAAGTGTTGCATGGGATGGAGGGGTATTGTGTGAGGTCTTTTGCTGAGGCACTTGAAGTCATTCCTTACACATTGGCTGAGAATGCTGGGTTGAACCCTATTGCTATCGTGACTGAACTGAGGAATCGCCATGCTCAAGGGGAGATCAATGCCGGGATCAATGTAAGGAAGGGACAGATCACTAACATCTTGGAGGAGAATGTTGTGCAACCACTGCTTGTAAGCACAAGTGCGATTACACTGGCAACAGAGTGTGTGAGGATGATTTTGAAGATTGATGATATCGTGAATGTCAGGTAGTTTTCTGCATCAGATGATGAAATGTGTTTGAGTGATCCGATTTAATGCTCTTTTTTCTCCTAGTATGACTATGTTTCAAGTTTCTTTGTTGGCTATCTACCACCAAATGTTTGTTTATTTCAGGCAGTTTTCTGCATTGGACTATAAAATGTGTTCTTTGTATTATCGGATTTAGTGCTTTTGTTTCCTTATAGTACCGACTATGTTTTAAATTTCGGAGTTGGCTATATACTACCACGAATTTGCTTGTTTTTAACAATGATATTTTGTGGCGCCGTTTTCCATAAGAGCTTTGTTTGTCTACTCTTCATCTATTTGATTGGATTACTTCCCTTGAATGGGAATCGAGTGTTATCAAATTGGCTTTGTTGCTTTTAACATGTTTTTATTAGTTTTAGTTACAATGAATTGTTCTACTTGGAAGAAGTAGAACATAGCAAATCAGGATAGTTTAGGGGAAAACTTTTGGAACTAGAATCCACTCTGATACGTGCTTCAATTATGTGTAGTGGTTAGAGTGTAGATACAAGGGTCTTCAAGGGTAATATTGGGTTATAACATGCAAAGTTCCTAGTGCAAAAGTAAAGCTTGGCTGTTGTAGTTTTAATGGTTAATGTGATATGCAGTATCTCTCTTTTCCTCTTCTATCTTCATCAACCTTTTCTTTCCCACATTTCCCTTCTTAATCCATGATTCTCAATTGTAAATATTTTGGTTCACTTCGCTCTCATGCAGGAGCTTTATTTCCTTGGTTGAAACTCATGTATGAATGGTTAACCTGCATACATAGTGAAGTATATTTGATTAATTTAATTCATTCTTTCTTGTTCTGGAAATGCTATGATAATTGACTTAAAATTTGAATATAATTATTCATGAAAGTCTTAAGAAATGAACAATAAAAAGGAAACGGGACAGTATAAATGGTAGGAAATCATTGATCTTTGCAGTTCAATATATGATAATTTACTTTTTTTACCTAATTATTTATCATTATATGACAATTTTAAGATGGTGACGTAGTATAACGTAAATATAAATTTTAATGAAAAAATTAATATCTTGACCTATTTAGTGATTAGATGTTAAAATTTAATGCAGGAGTTGTTGGGTTCAAATCCCTAAATTTTCTTTGGTGACTATTGGTGTAGTTTACCCGTAAAATTATTATAAAAATAATGTAAATTTATTGAAGTGGTAGTTTTAATATTATCCTGGTTAAATATAATAAAAGTTTTATTGGTTTAAAATAAGTTTTTTAGTTTTTTTTAAAAACAATTAAGTTTTTCATTGTTTTTTTAAAACTTTATAAAGTTTAATTAAATGGATGATTTAATCGACATTAACTATATTGACGTGATGTTTAACTATTACAGTGAAGGGCTCTTATGTTCAGATTGAAATTGGTAAAGAGAAAGAAAAGGAAAGTGAAAGAAAGTTAAAGATAGACAAATATTACAGTTTTTTGAATAATTAAAATTATTTTTAAAAAAAAGAAGGAAAGGTGGGTAGATTACACGAGTGATCACTCAACTATTATTTCTTTTCATTTTGATCATTGATATTTTGATTTTATCAATTAGATTATTTAAGTATTTAAATGTTTCCATCGGACTACCAGTTGTTAACATTTAACAGAGATGGTGACCTAACAATTAGTAAAATTGACATAATTATACATTTGGTTTTCAGTATTTATATATTTTATTAATTTAATCTTGATTTTAATTTAATTGGAAAAATTAATCATTCAATCAGGAAGTGTCGTATGTCAACATTTAATTGAATGATTTTTTATATTAATTTTAATATTTTAGTTGAATATTTTTTACCAATTAGGTGATGACACCACTTATTTTAAGGGGAAAAAAATTAAAGAAATATGCAACCGCAGAGAGTTGAACCTAGGACTAACAATTACTCTAAGTGCACTTAAGTTGAACATGGGACTAACAATTACTTACACCTATGTTAACCAAATGAAGTTGAGTGATTGCTTCATTCATAAAAAAAAAAAAACTTGTCCTTTATGACTGTAAATTTAGAACTTTAGGATATTTTATGTTAAGAAGGCTTTAACGTATCACGTCAGTTTTTCTTAACAATAATTAACGACGGTGACAATGATGAAATCGAATTAAAATTTTAATTGTATAATGTAAGATTTCAAAGTTAACTACCAAAGCCAGAGACCTCTAAAAATTCAGTGACCATGAGTGTCATTTACCCAAACAAATATTACATTTACCTTTAAATGGTATTCAACTGTGGTGGCTAGCTAGACATATGTTACGTGAGGAGAATTGGTGCAAGTAATTGGGAGTGAATAATTTTGACCTATAGATGGCAGCGTTTTGAATGTCCAATGTTAGGTGAGTATCAGCCGCAACAGCTTAATATAAATAATCTCACTCAGAAATCAGAATCGCAAATAATTTGAAAAGTCGAAAACCAAATTTTCTGGCAACTCCCAACCAAATTCAATCGTCATTTGTGAAGCACCTGGAGAAGAATATTCTCTTGAGAAAAATCCCATTCCCATGGAACAATCTCAAACCGACCGAAACCCCAAAACCCAATCCATCCCGCCTTACATGAAAGCCATTTCCGGTTCCGTCGGCGGTGTAATGGAAGCCTGTTGTTTACAGCCCATCGATGTGATCAAGACGAGGCTGCAGTTAGACCGGACGGGTAATTACAAGGGAATCGTTCAATGCGGAGCCACCGTGTATCGAGCCGAAGGGGTGCAGGCTCTTTGGAAAGGTTTGACGCCCTTCGCCACTCACTTGACGCTCAAGTACGCGTTGCGGATGGGTTCCAATGCGGTGTTTCAGAGCGCGTTTAAGGACTCGACCACCGGTTCGTTAAGTAACCAGGGGAGGCTTTTGGCTGGTTTCGGTGCTGGGGTTTTGGAAGCCCTTGCGATCGTCACTCCTTTTGAGGTCAGTTGTTTCGGATTCATAACTGATAATTGACCAGTAGATTTTACGTTAAGTTGAATGTATCTTAGAAAAATATGACCATGTTCATGTGAAATGCATATATGTTTTCTGAAATATATAATACGGACAGGATGGACTAGAGAGTATTTATGTTCGAAAATTTTAAATTTTCATATAATTTAGATTTTTTATATTTGGACTGGCTTTACGACTGCGAAGGTGGTGAAAATTAGACTGCAACAACAGAAAGGGTCGAGTCCAGAGCTTCTGAAGTACAAAGGTCCCATACATTGCGCTCGAACAATCATCCAAGAAGAGGGCATCTTCGGGCTTTGGGCAGGAGCCGCCCCGACTGTCATGCGTAACGGGACGAACCAAGCCGCAATGTTTACGGCCAAGAATGCTTTCGACGTGATATTGTGGAAGAAACATGAAGGTGATCAGACAGTCATCCAACCATGGCAGTCCATGGTATCAGGGTTCCTTGCAGGAACAGCCGGTCCGGTATGTACCGGTCCCTTCGATGTCGTCAAAACTAGACTGATGGCTCAGAGTCGAGACGGAGGCGAGTCGAAATACAAGGGTATGATCCACGCTATCCGAACCATATACGCGGAGGAAGGAGTTTGTGCATTGTGGAAAGGATTGCTGCCTCGGATGATGCGGATACCGCCTGGCCAAGCCATAATGTGGGCTGTTGTAGACCAAATAACTGGTCTTTACGAGAAAAGATACTTCTATAGTAGTGCAGCATTATAAACTTGCATCTCACCCTATTTCCCCCATGGATTTCAATACAATTGCAGGTATAAAACCTTGGAAACCCCCATTTTTTTAATTCTTGAATCCTAAATACCATGCCATGTTGGACTTGTACTTTCTTTAATCATATTACAGTGGTGAGAAAAAAAAATTAAAAAAAAAAACTAATTTTAAAATTAGTGGAAAATCATCTTTGTTCCACCATCTACGTGGGTCTTGAAGTCTACTTAATGCCTCTTATATTTATCATGTGACTCGTTTCAATGTTCGTACAAGTATGGGTTAAATAAATATAAACTATTTTTTATAAAAAAAATATATAAAATACATGTTTTTTAGACTTTCAACACATATGTGACACTATTTTAATTGTCATTGTTTTAAGAAATAATAATAAATTATTATGCCCTTTGAATCAGTAAATTAAAATATAACTTTAACACGAGTTCAAAAAATTAAGAAAGTAAAGTCCATATCATATTCAAATATAAATAATAATATGTGGTGGCCGGAATAAGGAGAGTATAAGGTCGTACTCACGTTTTCCCCACCATCCATAGTGAGTCTAATTTTTATCCCCACCTCTATCTCACCACCCATATAACATGTACTCATCCTCATCCAATTGAATACGAAGTGAGATAAAATTGTGAAACCCAACTTACGAGCATCCATAATTAAGACTTTCTTATTGATATTTTACATTTATGGTTTAAACCCTAATTCGTGTCATTGACTCGCTCTATAAGAAATATATATTTGTTGATTTTATGCTTATAAAATTAAAAAACAAATATGATGGCAACTATTTTAACAAAATTGGAAGTTTTACATTTTCTTAGTATTCATAAAATAGTTCATTTTATTAATACTTGAGTTAGTTTTATGTTTGTAAAAAATATTATTAATTGAATGCCAGTTTAATGAAAATAAAATTGTGAATTTATTTATTTTATTAATTGTATATTATGGTAAAGTTTAAATCGAATAATTTCCTTCATCACGTTGAATAAACCTTCCTCTCCTCTAACTATACCACCAAAAATTCTTCAGTTCCTCTCCTCCCATATAAAGAAAACTAACACTATTCCATGTCAAATTGAGTAAAAGGGAAAGAAGACTTCCACCTTTTAAGACAGCAACAGCCCAGGACAGTTCTTGCTCCCAATTGCAGAGCCCAAGGATCCCCTTCCAAATGCTAGCCAAATAATAGATGTCGTAACCGGTTTTCGTCCGGGCACGAAATATTTATTTGGCGAGAAAATTGATGTGAATAAATGGTTTTGAAAATAATTTGGGAGTCGCCATCGGCCTTTTGGGTCAGGTAGGTCGAATACCTAAAAATTATCTTTTAACAGAGTTTTTAAGAAAACATCAGTTAAAAGATGAACTGATCTGCGTTTATAACCAAAAATTCTTTCTTTTTAATAATAAAAAGGGATTCGTGGTCGGTTACGTTTAGGGAATGATTAGTACCCCTACAACGCCCAAAATTGATACTTTTTAATTATAAATTGTCTCTATTATTAGAAATTTAAAAATTCAAAATATATTTAATTTATAATCCTATTATTTCAAAATTATAATTATGAGAAAAAAATAATTTATATATATTTATAAATAAAATATTTATTTATTTAGAAATATCAGAAAAGGAATTCTAGGTGCCTTAAGACAACTCTTTTCTTCGATATTAATAAATATTAATATAATAATTTAAATAAAATTAAATTATAATTTTTTATAATATTTAATTTTAAAAAACCAGAATAGGACATCCAGTTGTATTAAGACTGCCCTTTTCTTCGATATTGAAAAATAAATATTAAAATAATTTATGGAAAAAATATAAATTATTATTTATTATATATATATTTATATGACTACATAATAATAATAAAAATAATATTTAAATTTATAAACAAGTAAAATTAAAACAATAAAATTACAATTAGAACTATATATTTAAAAAGCAGTAAAATAAAAGAAAATATTTAAAATTAATGACTAAATTAAAATTAAATACCTAATTCATAATTAATTATTTAAAATTATAAGGATTAAACATGATATTTTCCTTATTTATTAATTTAGTGACTAAAATAAAATTATATAAAATTTGAATATCATATTAAAATAAATTAAAAATATAAACTCAGGATTAAAATATTATTTATTAAAATTAAAGGATTAAATATGTTATTTATCCTAAATATTTATAAATACGGTTAAGGGCTAAAATATAAATAAATAAAATTTAGAGACCAAATTAAAAGGATTATAAATTTGATTTAGTGACTAAAATGTAAAGATTACAAGTTAGGATGACTGCGGACGGGATTTAATAAAAAAAATTACACAAATAGCCCTCCCCAAAATGGCGTCGTTTGGGAAGGGCTATTTAAAGCCAAAAACGGCTGGCCCGAAGGGCCAGCTCTCATTTCCCCGTTTTTCTTCTCTCTCAAACAGAGAGAGAGCCAAAGTTTTCTCTGGCTTCTCTCTAGCTTCCCTCACCGGAGGGAAGCCGGTCACCGGGCGGCAACCGTCTGCCGCCGTAATTCCCACCGCCGGCCATCAAATCTGGTGGCCGGAAAAATTTATTTTTATACCACAACGTAGATCGGACCGTCCTAATGACGGTTCCGGTGATCTTTTCTCCTAAATAGCTCCCGATCGGAGCAAATCTAAGAAAGTACCTTCGATTTTCGAAGGTTTTGGTGACGTTTGAAGAGGTCCGGCGGTCGTGGCTTCCTCGGTAAGCTTCTCTCCTTTGTTTTCTTTTGTTTTTGGTTGCTGTGTTGTGGGGTTTTTTTTCCTGTTCTCCGTTCTTCCTCTCCTCTTCCTTTTTTTTCCTCTATTTTTGCTGGTTGTCGTGTGTTTTCCTTGCAGGTTGGGTGATGGCTTTATAGCCATCACCGGCGCTTGTCTCGGACCGGTCCTAAGGGTGGAGTTCGGTGAGTCACCGAGCTATAGTAGTGACTCACTCTAGACTTCAACGTGTGCGGCTGCTCTGAGTCTTCTGGAGTCTTCATCGGAGGCGTGGCACTGGTTGAGCGTCGGCAATGGTGTTGGCAGCAGAAGAGGCGCCGCGTGGCCCTAGGGTTAGGAAACCCTAGGGCTTCCTTTGCTGGAACCATCTGGGCCGTTGGATCAAAGCCAGATCCAACGGCTGTGAGTTGAGGCGGCTGCTGGGATGATACAAACCCTAAATTAGGTTTAGGGTTTACTATGGGCTTTTGGATCCGGGCCACTGTATTGGGCCTTCAATTTGGGCATGTAATTATTATTATATATATTTTTATATTATTATTATTATTTATTTATTTATTTATTTAATAATAATAATAATGTATATAATAATTATAATAATAATAATAATAATAATAATAATGGGTAAAAAATTTAGTATCTTCAATAGCATTCAAAGAAAAGGTGGTTTCTCATCTCAGCAGCCACCTATCATCAACCATCAATCCTATCTTCTTCACCAAGCCTATGGAGGAGAACAACAAGCCAAGATATCACTGCATGCTTGGGTACATGCAAGGGAAACCAAACAAAAAGCTTGTGCTAGACCACCCTTTCCCTCCCTGCTCTTAATCTCAGATCATATATTCTTTAATTTGCACCTCTCTCCAAAGCGATGGTCACGAGCTGAATTTCTTATCGAAATTTTTTCTCTCTAAAGTTCCAGCTTACAGAGCCCTTAACCTAATATTTTTTTCATAAAATTTTTTAGGAGCAATATTCTTATCTAATCATATTATAAGTGTATTCATTTATAATTTTTTAAAATATTTTAATTATTTAAAAATTTAGTTCATGATCAAAATTTATTTTTTATATTATTATTTTTATGTGATTAGATCGATAATTTTACCACTAGATACCGGTTCAAATCAAACTGAGTTTCAATGAACTTAGAAAGCCGATTAAACCTACATGTAAATTGCACTAAAGTTGCATTCCACATGATATACACGATTTGTTAATTTTGTATTCATAAAAAGGTTTTTTGTTCAATATGATATACAAGAGGATGTTCAAACATTTCTTATCGTATTTAAATTGAAGATACTCATTTTTTTTCATTTAAATATTATTTATATTATCATTATTATTATTATTATTATTATTATTATTATTATTATTATTTTATTATTATTAATAAATATTATTACAGGCCCAAATCAGATTGGACCGGCCCAGTTACAAAGGACCCAACTGGCCCAAACCCATCCGGAAACCCTAAACCCAGATTAGGGTTTGATCTCTAACCCTAGCCGCCTCATCATCACAGCCGTTGGATCTGAGAGATCCAACGGCCCACACTCATCCAGCACAAACCCTAGGGTGATGATACCCTAGGGCCACGCGGCCGCCACAGCTACTCCTACGATCTCCACCGCTGCCACGTCTCGTCGGAAGCTTCCAGAAGCGCCACTCCAGCCGCACACATGTCGCCCTAATAATGAGTCACCACTGGAAGTCCGGTGACTCACCAGACTCCACTCTTTTACCCGGTCCGACGGCCACACCGGTGATGGCTATAAAGCCATCACCCAACCTGCAAAGAAGAGAGAACAACAACCAGCAAAAACAGAGAACGAAAAAAATAGAAAGCAAATCACTAAAACAACAAGGAAAGGAAGGAGAGAGACTTACCGTGGAAGCCACCGCCTTGATCGGAGTCACCACCGGCCTCTAGACGTCACCAAAAACCTTCGAAAACCGAAGGTATTTTCTTAGATTTGCTCCGATCGGGAGCTATTTAAAAGAAAAGACCACCGGAACCGTCATTAGGACGGTCCGATCTACGTTTTAGTAAAAAAAAAACTTTTCCCGGCCACCGAGTGTGCTTCTCTCTGTTTTAGAGAGAAGCGAGAGAATTTTTTTCTCAGAGAAGAGAGAGAGAGGGAAGAGAGGAGAAATGAGAGATGGCCCTTCGGGCCAGCCGGTTTTGGACTTAAATAGCCCTCCCCAAACGACGTCGTTTT